CGCCTGTTCCCAGCACTCCTGGGCGCTGCCCGAGGCCGCCCCGGCGCAGGCGCAGGCCGACTCGCTCACCGTCTACCTGGTCATCGCGCTGGCGGCGGTGTCGTCGCTCTTCCTGCTGTGTGTGCTGCTGTGCGTGGCGGCGCGGCTGTGCAGGAGGGCCAGGGCGGCCTCGCTGGGGGGCTGCTCGGTGCCCGAGGGCCCCTTCCCGGGCCACCTGCTGGACGTCAGCGGTACTGGGACCCTGTCCCACAGCTACCAGTATGAGGTGTGTCTGGGAGGATCAGGAACTAGTGAGTTCAAATTCCTTAATTCTGTCATTCCCCCACCATCAGGGACCTCTGAATAATGTCCAGAAAAATTTCTACTTTGTAAACTGTTTTGAATTTGATTAGAAATCTCATTTTCATAGCATTGAGGATAAAGGTTAGTTGTTTCTAAAGCTATCAGTATTAGGTCTACATTACTTTCACTTTTCTATTTAAAATTTCTTCATTTTTTGCTCAATTTATTTTCCTAGTTAACTTTGACTATATTATCATATTTAGTGTCTTTTCATCATTTCTATTTTTGAAAGAATTATTTCATTTTATTAATCATCTTTTTTATAACTTACCAGAGAGAAACTGAGACAAGAAAGAGAGACTCAGAAATGTTTATCAACTTTTCAACATCAAATGTTTTTGATAAAATGATCGATGTCTTATTCTTACCTAGAAACTTTTTTCTGAATTTTTGTTGTTTAGAAGACAGGCATGACAGCAATTTAAAATTATCATTGTATTTTCTTTTTTTCTGATATTACACTAACCTGTGTTGAATTTTTTTTTTTTGAGAGAGATTTTTGCTATAGGGTGCGTGCATTCACCATAGAGACAGAAAGTGAGAAATCACCCTCCCCCCCACACACACACACAGGGGTGATGGCCACACCACAACCCCTCTCCTCCATTCTCCTCCATTCTCCTCCATTCTCTTCTTGGTGTTGAGCCCAGAGTGAGTTTCAAGCCGCTGGGTCCAGAACTGGAAGTGCAGTGGACTAACCGGAGTCCAGCAATGTAACCATTATGCCATCTGCTATTCCCATCTGTGTTGAATTTTTAAGTGAAAAAAATATCCACAAAAATTGTATGGTTTTGTTTCACCATAGTAGTAAATCAGAAAGGCTAACTTTCTTCCAAATTAAAGGCTTTTTTACTATTTATAACATCTTTTAGTATACAGTATACATACATGACTCTTACTGAAAGATTATTAGATTACCTCAAGATTGAGAATAATATTGGGACAAGCAGGTGGTATGGTGGTTAAGGCTCCAGAGCCCACATGGCTGACTCCAAAATTCAAGTCCTGGACTCGCGGCTTGAGAAACACGTCAGATGCATGTGCATGCATGCCCAAGGGGAGGATGGGGGAGAAGGGATTCGAGCATGGCCAATCTTGTGTGTGGGGGTGATTTCTCACTTTCCCTTTCTCTCTGTCTCCAGCAAGTGCACATGTCCTATGACAAAAATCTAAAAAATAATAATAACAACAATAATAATAGGGTTTTTGTGGTGTATTTATCCCATTCTTTTTCTGAAAAGTTTCTCTCTTTAACAGAAATGTATTATTGCATTATTTTATATGCCCATCTCTTTTCATAATTTCAGACAACTAGAAAGGGTGGTTGACATTAGTGTTCCATGCTGGGTCAATCTGATTCTCTCTGTTTAAAAGAAGGTCTTTAGGGGACCAATAGGTAGCATAGCGGTTAGGGCAGCTGGACTCTCACATGGCTGATCATGGTTCAAGTCCTGGACCTGGCAGCTTGCTTTCTCATTTTCCTCCTCTCTTTCTCTGGTCAACTTAAAAAACAATAATAATATTAACAATGAATAAAATTAGATTAAATAATTTTTTAAGATCTTTAGACACCTATCTTGGGTGGCATACAAATAAACCCACCACTTGGGAGGCTAGGAGTTTATGGGAGGTTCAGGTTTTCAGGCCAACCTGCATACCACTGTACTGCAATTCTAGGTAATTTGAGGCTGAGGACAGGAGGATTCTGTTAGAAATTCCTCTCTTTGTTTCTCTCCCTCCTTCTCTCTGATAAAGTAAAATTTTTAAAAAGGCTTTAGAAATCAGATATTATGGAGGCTGGCAGGTGGCATGGTGGTTAAGGTGCTGGACTCCCACATGAGTGGCCATGGTTCAAGTCCTGGGTCTGGAGGCTCACTCTCTCTATATCTCTGTCTCTCTATGCTCAAATTGAATACTACTATTATTAATAATAAGTAAAATTAAATAAAAATTTAAAAAGTAATCAGGTATTATGTAGTCTCTCTGAAACATAAAAAGAAAATGATGTTTGGTTAAATAAATGGAAAGAAGTACAGAAAGTCAATCCACTGAGAGAAAAAAAATAGAGTACTTCAGTGTAGATGTTCTAGTCCTTCTCTTGTCTATTTTCTCCCTTGAAGTTTTGGAAACAATTGTGTGCTCTTTTAATAAATTTTCCTCTAAGATAGCTAAGTTAGGTTTTGGGGTTTTTTTCTTGTTGTCAAAATCATGTTAAGATATTTGTGCATGTTTATTTTCTTCTTGACAAAATCATGTACAAGGGCCAGCAGGTGGCATGGTGGTTAAGGTATTGGATTCCCATATGGTCAAATGCAGTTCGAGTCCCAGACCTGGTAGCTTGAGAATCAAGTCAGGTGCATGTGCATGTCTAAAATTCAAAGAAGAGAATGGAGGAAAAGGGACTGCAGTGAGGCCATCAACCCCTGAGGAGTGATTTCTCAATTTTTCTCTCTCTGTCTCTCTCTGGCAAGTACACACACCCTATGGCAAAAACCTAAAAATATATATGTTTAGATATTCTTGCATGGTTGATAAGTTGGACTTCCCTAATGAACTCTTTTGCTGTGTTTTATTGTAATTCTGGTTTACATATAATTGTTACACAACTTGGTAATTTGAGTATTTACTGTGGCTTTTATATTATTATAGTAATATTTGGGATTAAAAGGTTGTAAAACATTATTGGCCTGTAAGGGACATGCATTAACTTTTGTTAGAACATATAATTTTAAGAACAATAGATTATTTCCAATGGTACAGTCTCTGGGGTGCTTGGTTTAAATTCTTGGAAAATTTGATTATATGGGACCAGCAGGTGCATGTGGTTAGGGTGCTGGATTCCCACATGGTTGACCATGGTTTGAGTCTTGGACCTAGTAGCTTGCTTTCTCACTTTCCCTCTCTCTCTCTGTCTTTCTCGGGTGAGCACATGTGCCCTGCAGCAAATTTTTAAAAAGATAATAAAATTAAATAAATCTTAAAAAAGAAAATTCAACTATATAAAAAGAGATTTTGTATATCATTGGTGTCATACTAGGATTAGTGTGAAATAACATTGACACTGTAAAACAGTGACTAAAAGAGACATATGCCTTGTTTGAAAGATCACCGTGACTTTGTTGTTGTATTCTTTCTTTTTATAGTGTATTCTTTTGCTCAGGGGGAGCCCAGGGTATTTTGCCATTTATTAAAAGGACAATTAGATCACTCTGCATTATTTCAAATTACTCAAGAAGGCACAGAAAATAGCTACTTGTGAACATGCTGTCTTGTTTATCCAACTTATATAATGAACTGAGATCCCAATAAGAAAGAGGAATTACACCACAGGAGGAGAATCCATTGTCAGACTTTAAAAACTAATTGTGGTTTACTCTTACACATAGATCTATTCAACAGATATTTGTTGAGCATCTACGCTATGCCAGGCATTATTTTAGATGTTAGGGATATAACAGGGAACCACACAAAATTCTAGCACTCAGGGGCGATACAGAAAACAAGAATATATATCTGTGCTACATCAGATGGTAATCCATGCCAGGGAGGGAAAAAAAGGCAGGAAAAATGATATAGAAAGTATCTTTATATGCATTTCCCCAATCTGAAAATTTCATAAAATAACTCTTTGCCCTTAAACTGGAATGAACTTGTGAATTTTTCCTTCATGTAATTCAACTAACTGGAACCACTGTTGGTATATAGGCTGCCTAGAAATTGAAATAAATTCTTTTTGTCTGAGATACGGTTAGGAAATTGCATGGCTATATGTTTTTATAGTGATAGGATTACCAATCACTATTATGTGTTCTTTCACTTCTCAGTTTCTCTCAGACTAACCTGCCTACACTCTAGAAGGTAGGGCCAAGTCAGGGCTGTTTACTGATGTATTTCAGAACCTGGCAAGTAGTGACAATATTTCTTTGGGTGAAGGAGTGAATAATCATAATTGCATGTTTCAAAAACTGCATCATCTCCTCTAAACAGTTTCCAAACTCCTAAAAGCAGAATAGAAAGAACAAACGTAACAATTCGTTTTGAAGTAAAAACAACACATGGTGGCGCTGTAGGCTAAGGTTTAACAACAAAACAAAATTGCCTGTTAAATGCTAAGACCTCTACTTCAGACCTCATTCGCCCAAGAGGAAAGCCTGTAAGCAGAGCTCCGACCAGTAAGTCTCCAGAGAATGCTGCTCACCCGCATTTCCGGACAGGTTATCAACTGACAGATCGATCACTAGCTCAGTCCTGAGGGAGTTCTGGTCCCTGTTTCTGGAAAGGCGTGTGCATAAGAAGATGGAGACCAGAGGGGACCGCGTTCCTACACAAAGGCAAGTCCTGATTCTCCTTCTCTTACCGGGAGTGGCTCTGGCAGGCTGGGAACCCCGCCGCTATTCCGTGATGGAGGCAACAGAAAAATTGTGGCCAACCTGGCCAAGGACCTAGGGCTAGGAGTTGGGGAGCTAGCCGCGCGGGGCGTCCGCGTGGTCTCTGAGGATAACAAACCACGCTTGCAGCTTCATTTGCAGACCGGGGAACTGACATTAACCGAGAAACTGGACCGGGAGGAGCTGTGCGGCCCCACTGAGCCCTGCGTGATGCATTTCCAAGTGTTATTGAAAAAACCAATGGAAGTAATTCGAGCTGAGCTGCTGGTGAAAGACATAAATGATCATTCTCCTGAGTTTCCTGAAAGAGAAATGACCCTGAAAATCCCAGAGAATAGCCCTCCTGGGACAGTGTTTCCTCTGACAAAAGCTCAGGATTTGGACGTGGGTAACAACAATGTTCAAAAGTATGATATTGGTCCCAACTCTCATTTCCATGTTTCCACGCATGACCGGGGGGACGGCAGAAAATACCCAGAGCTGGTGCTGGACAAAGACCTGGATCGCGAGGAGCAGGCTGAGCTCAGACTCACTCTCACAGCGCTGGATGGCGGCTCTCCTCCCCGATCTGGCACCATCCAGATCCGCGTCTTGGTCATGGACGTCAACGACAACGTCCCTGAGTTTGCGCAGACGCTTTATGAGGTGCAGGTCCCGGAGAACAGCCCGGTAGGCTCCCTGGTTCTCAAGGTCTCCGCTACGGATTTAGACACAGGGACAAATGGAGAGATTTCATACTCACTTTTCTATAGTTCACAGGAGGTTGGCAAAACTTTTGAGCTAAGCAACTCTTCAGGGGATATTCGACTAATTAAAAAACTAGATTTTGAGACAATATCCTCATATGAGTTAGATGTAGAGGCGACTGATGGCGGGGGTCTTTCTGGGAAATGTTCTGTGTTGATTAAGGTGTTAGATATCAACGACAACCCCCCGGAACTGACTATATCGTCACTTACCAACCCTATTCCAGAAAATTCTCCCGAGACAGAAGTGGCTCTGTTTAGGATTCGAGACCGAGACTCTGGGGAGAATGGAAGGATGGCTTGCTCTATCCAGGACGATGTCCCTTTCATACTGAAACCTTCCATAGAGAATTTCTACAGGCTGGTAACAGAAGGGGCTCTGGACAGAGAGAGCCAAGCCGAGTACAACATCACCATCACCGTCACAGACCTGGGCACACCCAGGCTGACCACAGAGCACAGCATAACAGTGCTGGTCTCCGACGTCAACGACAACGCCCCCGCCTTCACCCAGGCCTCCTACACCCTGCTGGTCCGCGAGAACAACAGCCCCGCCCTGCACATCGGAACCATCAGCGCCACAGACGCAGACGCGGGCACCAACGCCCAGGTCACCTACTCGCTGCTGCCGCCCCACGACCCGCAGCTGGCCCTGGCCTCGCTGGTGTCCATCAACGCCGACAACGGCCAGCTGTTCGCGCTCAGGTCGCTGGACTACGAGGCCCTGCGCGCCTTCGAGTTCGGCGTGCGCGCGGCAGACCGCGGCTCGCCCGCGCTGTGGACCCCAGCGACAACGCGCCCTTCGGTCTCTACCCGCTGCAGAACGGCTCTGCGCCCTGCACCGAGCTGGTGCCCAGGGCGGCCGAGGCGGGCTACCTGGTGACCAAGGTGGTGGCGGTGGACGGCGACTCGGGCCAGAACGCCTGGCTGTCGTACCAGCTGCTCAAGGCCACGGAGCCCGGGCTGTTCGGCGTGTGGGCGCACAATGGCGAGGTGCGCACCGCCAGGCCGCTGAGCGAGCGCGACGCCGCCAAGCACAGGCTGCTGCTGCTGGGCAGGGAACATGGGGAGGCGCAGCCTGCGGC